ATAATTTCATGTATATATTATTTATTTTTATGTATATATAAAATACTTTATATTGTGTATGTGTGTGTGTAAATAAATTTAAGAACATTTTTATATAATGGCAACACTTTATTTCTATGGTCCACTTTAGACATTGTACTAACTATAAGTAACTTTGCAACTACATGTCAACTAACTCTCATTAGAGAACACATAATCTTAATCTAACAGTCTACTAACAGACTAATATTCTTAAGGTTACTTATAGTCAATAGATTTTCTAAAGGGGACCATCAAAATAAAGTGTATATATACTGTATATATATATATATATATATATATATATATATATATATACATATACTTACACTCATATATTATATTATATCTAAACTAACACTTTAGTTTAGGGTCCAGTTCTCACTACTAACTAGTTCCTTATTAGCATGCAAATTACTAGGATATTGACTGTTTATTAGTACTTATAAAGCACATATTAATGCCTTATTCTGCATGACCATATTTTACATCCCACAATCATACCCAATTCCTAAACTTAACATCCACCTTACTAAATATTAATAAGCAGTAATCAGGAGTTTATTGAGGCAAAAGTCGTAGTTCATAGATGGTTAATAGTGAGAATTGGACCCTAATCTAAAGTGTGACCACATATATATTTTTATATTGAATATGTCTGTCTGTTATAGAGACACATGTCACGAGCTGCTTGGACACGTCCCTCTTTTGGCCGAGCCCAGCTTTGCTCAGTTCAGTCAGGAGATTGGTCTCGCGTCACTGGGTGCATCGGATGACTCCATACAGAAACTTGCAACTGTAAGTAATAACAGACCTTTAACCTTTTAGTGAGGGGTGTTTTGATGTGAATACATATTTAATAATGCAAAATGAGTATTTATCACTGCCATATTGTGTTTCAGTGTTATTTCTTCACTGTGGAGTTTGGCCTCTGTAAGCAGGAAGGGAAACTGAGAGCGTATGGGGCCGGTCTGCTGTCCTCCATCAGCGAGCTAAAGGTAATGAAACACAAAAGCTTTCTCTACATGATGGAAAGAGCTTGATTTTCAGCTTATAGAGAGATGACCTATTCCCTTTTCTTCCAGCATGCACTGTCAGGAAACGCCAGGATCTTGCCCTTTGACCCCAACGTGACCAGCAAACAGGAGTGTATCATCACCACCTTTCAGGATGTCTACTTTGTTTCGGACACCTTTGAGGAAGCAAAAGTCAAAATGAGGTGTGTGGGCAATCAAAAACAATGAATAATAAAATGAATAATTAAAAATTAAGTATTCACTGCAGATCTCATCTGAGTATTTAGCCTAAAAATTTCATCAATAAATTAACCCTGTGCATTTGAAATTAATCTTTTAGAGAGTTTGCAAAGACCATCAAGCGGCCATTCTCGGTACGCTACAACCCGTACACGCAGAGCGTAGACGTTCTGAAGGACACGGCCAGCATCAACAACGTGGTGGAGGAACTAAGACATGAGTTGGACATCATTGGAGATGCACTAAGCAGGCTAAACAAACAGTTAGGAGTCTGAAAAACTACATTTCCAAGCAAATCATCCATTATTTCATGCTTGTTTTGTCACAGTACTTCACTCTCCAAATAATGTATGGGATTAATAATATGTGATGCTGTATGTATGTACCTACCAAACGAAGTCAAGTCCTCATGTGTCTATTTATATTATTAGTTTGACTCTTGTTTGATTAAATACGTGGCTCAACAAAAGCTGAAGCTCAATGCTTGCAATTGGACTTCTTGTATTATAAGTGAGATTTCTACTTGATAGGGTGGTATTTATGCAAGGCGACCACAATGGTTATGGTTGTGCAAAGTTGATGTCTGCTGATTTCAAATTGGCACCTTATGTTTATTTATTAAGAGATATTGTCTGATAGATATTTTAGTATACTGATTTACTTTATATTTCATTTGTGCACAATATATATATAGTTTTTTATCATTGTGAGTCTATGAAATATTCAGTATTTTTAGTGTTATTGACAGAAAATGTTTCTTGATTTAAAATGGATGTCTACGTGGAGTAGGACCTGAAGGTTCATCTTTATTTATTAAAAATGCATGTAAATGTTGCATTGGACATGAAAGAATATTTTTTACAAATTAACTTAAAGTTAATTAACAAGAATGCTTAGCGAATGTCAAGTTTGTCAGTATCAGTTCAAGTTTAAAGTATAGAGAAATGTATTGCTAAAAGATTATATATTCATATATTCATATGCTTTTAACAAAAATAAATCATTGTTTTTTACTGTAAAAAAACGTTTATTCTTTTCTTTCTTCTTTCTAGCTAATGTTCTAATGTTCACAACATTGTTTCAAAAGCCGAAATCTCTAGCGAGTGTTATTCAAATCTCAGGACATTATTTGTCTTATTGGAGACATAAGTGAAATCCCTTATTACTGTTATTATATAAATGCAGTGATAGGTACCTAATAAACAAATGGAAAGCGGATCCAGTAGTATCTGTAAACTTTTCTTTTTTTTAAACACGCATTATCATTTGATCTCAAAATGCTGTGATTGGTTCATCTTGACAAGCGCTGAGAAAAGTAACGGCTATCACGTGACCTCTACGTCTTTTTACTGTATGGCCTGCTGGATTTTAACCACAAAGATTTTTAATATGTAGATGATGAGTATACTTGGAATATTTGCACAAAGTTGGGTGTTGTTATATGCTTTTATTATTAACTTTTAACTTATTTTTGTAGGCTTCATATGTTGTTGTTTTTTTGTTTTTTTTAATAAAGTTTATTTCTTCAGACGTATTAATGTAGGCAATTTTCTCTTCCCCAGTTCACTGTTATTATCAAAGTCCCTTTCTGTATATAAAGTCTTTGTTACTATCCCGTTTTTATTTGGCGTAGGCAGAAATTGTATTTTGGGTGGGCCAGTGAAAATGTGACTGGGCCTATAGTTTTTCCTAGAAAAAAATGACTTCAATAATAATTAACATTAATAGACAAACTGAAAAAAACAGTTACACCTTTATATTCGGCAAATCATCATGTTCAACCAACAGAGCTCAATAAAGGCTGGACAAACCAGTATAGACAATAACCTGTCTATTTTATTCAGGCTATTCAGCAGTGCAAATACAGTTCACCCGAAAATAAAGTAAGCTAAAATAATAATATCACAGTTAGATCGGCAGATAAACCCGCGTCAGGCTGACGGGGAGAGAGGGGAGCAAGAAGCGGCCGGCGCCAGCACCTGACTAGCCTTCTGCTGGGGTAATGAGTCGGAAGAACTGGGCTGGGTGGACTCGGAAGATGAAGGCAGTGGTGTGTCTTCTTCCTCAACTCTTGCTTTTTTTCAAATAGCACATTAAAGAAAGTTGTTTAGCCATTATTGTGGCAACGACGCCGCTGAGAGTTTTCCAGTCAGAACCCCCAGCAACCATAGCAACCAATAACGTTCCGGAGAGAGGGTTTCTACATCTTGCTTCACCAGTTAAATTTTATTCGGAAAACAAATTAAACACACACAGCAGTCAACAATAAATCATGTATATATTAATATATTTTCATAAATACATCTGAATAATAAAAATAAACTAAACATGTATTTTTATCAAACTTGCCTGGGCGGGCCAGTGAGTAATGTGGGCGGGCCAGTGCCGCCCTGGCCCAATACTGGCTACGCCCCTGGGTATAACTGAGTGAGTCATTTTAGCACTCTCTTATGGTCTATGTCTATCTATGGTGTTCGGTTATATTATTGCACTTAATTTCCTTGCCTTTGAATAATATCATCCTTTATGCTACTTGGTTATGACTTGTCAGGGCCCGAGCACCGATGGTGTGAGGACCCTCTTGGAATTGCTCTGTTTATTATTTATTTGTATTTATACAATATATGAAATAAATATAAAATCTTTGTTTTAGAAATAAAATTGCATAATTATATTATTGAATTACTTGTCTTGATATGTATATGTAATATGTATTTTTAAAATTTTATATCAAATATAAAAAGTATATCATAATATTATAATATCTTAATTTAAAAAAAATAATCATAGAATATTAATATAATAATTTTAATTATTACAATTATTATAGTTTAAGTATGATAATATTTAATTATTTTACTTAGTATGTATATGTGTTTATTTGTTTTAAATATTGAACTTGAATTTATTTTTTTATATCAAATATAAAACATATTAGTATTTTCATTTTTATACAAACTTGGATGGCCGGGACATTTGCAATATTTGCAAAGCCAGATATGGTGATGAAAAATATCCTAAAAAGACAGAGGATTGGATTATGTACGGAAGCGTATTGCATTCACTTGAAGAAAAAAAATCTACTCTGTTTTTCTGAATTAACGAGTTAATTATCTCAGAATTATGAGATAAATTTTTCTTGAAATTTTTTTTTTTTACTCTGTTTTTATGAATTAATGAGTTACTCATAATTTTTAGATAATTAAGTCATTAATTCAGAAAAACAGAGCAAAAACTTTTTTCCATGAAAAATTCTCTCATAATTCTGAGATAATTAACTTGTTAATTCAGAAAAACAGAGCAAAAACTTTTTTTTTCATGACAAATTATCTCGTAATTCTGAGATAATTAACTCGTTAATTCAGAAAAAAAGAGTAGATTTTTTTCCTCAAGGGAATGCAATACGCTTCCGTAAGTTAATTGTCTTAATAGCAATATATTATGTATATTATGTTTTAACAAATATAGATAAAAATAATAAAACATATATTTGATATTATAATTCGATATTAAATATATATTTTTTATATTAAGTAGAATATTTTAATAAAATGTGTGACTTGTATTTAATAAAATTGCAAAAAAAATTTTTTAAATAAATGAGTAACTCCCGATCCGATAAACCCCGCCCACTTTGGGTTTGCATCGTGTTAATGCATATTATTAGCATTCTACCCACTAATATTTCTGGAAACAAAGTGACGTTTCATGATTTTGTGGTGATGTCATCAATGTGCGCCTAAATCTGATGGAAGGAACTCAGCTGTCAAAATGTGTACTTTACACGTGGGTAAGTGTTATTTAGCCTACTTTTCATTACACAAAGCTTGCAAAGAGTATTGGTACCAGTCTACAATCCTTATATCCACGAGAATACGCGAACCTTTAACAGTAGGCCTATACATTAAAATAAGCAGTCTCAAATAATTATAGCCCACAAAAACAGCGCTTCCTGAGCAGGGCCGGACTGGGACCTAAATTCGGCCCTGGCATTTGTGGTTTTCACCGGCCCAACTAATTGATGACGTTAAAAAACGTCCCCAGAATCTGAACATTTTTCCCACTGAGACACACCATACAAGGCAGCAATTTAGGCGCGTTTCCATTACAGATTTGCGCAAAACTTTTGCGATTTTTTCTAAATGTCGATAAAAAACTATTGCGAAATGACGGCGTTTCCATTAACTGATGTTATGCGATACAACGTCCTTTTTTCTCTCTCGCGATAAGTCATTTAAACATCATGGCAACGGGTCTATCAGCCACCACCACACTAGACATTATTATTATTATTAATGGAATGAGACGTGGTGTGTTATCCAAGCATTAATGGCAGGGAAAGACGCATACTGCTAAGGAGTTTCTGGGTGTTTCTCTCTCATTTCTGCCCCGAGGTCTTGATTGTGGCATTTCTTTGAGGTTTAGAATCCAGTATTCCTGAAGCCTAATTATTGTTTATTTTATGAATTTAATAAAGAACTCTGTCCAAACGGTCAGTGTACATTTGTGTCCATTCGTTTTTCCTTTTTTAACCCGTATTGCAAAACGAAAAATGAACGGTGATTTTTTTTATTTAAAATGCAAAGTTAACCAGCAATTTTTTTTTAAATTTGAACTGTACACAAATGCTGTGCAAAAATAATAATATATCGACTAAATTTCAGATGTTTCTTTGACTTTTTGCCCCTTTATTAAACATTTAAAATATTCACAACTTAATACGAAAAAAATGTAGATTTTAATGGTTTTCTAAGGGCAAATTAGAACCTGGAAATTATATTTTTCCCGCAGTGCTGAATGAGAAGAGCCATATTTATGTCTCTGGAACCACAAGGTGATTTAGGTGAGTTATAGGCTAATGATAATAAATCTGTCTGAAAAATAACGAGGCATTTTAATTGTTTATTAATAAACTATTGTTTTCTAAATCAGTGTCGGCTAAAAACATATCTCCATCTCCGCTGAGGCGCGCCGCGCGAATGCACCTTTAGAGAGAAATACACCTTTCATAAGGATTACATCATCAGAATGTATTAGCTTTCGATTCGAATTTGTTCGTTTTAAAGTGGACACTTCAAGCTTTAGCCTACATAGGCTATACTTTGTTTCAGTTCTCGCGCTCCAGTTCACGGAGATCATGAAAGCGCGCATGATTGTTTTATTTTATTTTACAAAAGCACAACGTTTTCTTGTTATTGTGAGTTTACACAAATAAAATCATAGTGGCGAATAATGTATTATTATTTTCTGTATGACCAGAAATTATAGAGTAGGCCTATTTTAAGTTGTTTCTACTGTTGATAGGAAAAAGCAAGTGTTCGCGGCCGCGCCTCCGTGCCATGCGCGCTCAGCAAACACTTGGATATGCGTCAAAATCTTGTGTTTATTTGTGATAATCTTAGCCCTGTATTATTATTGTCTAACCATTATGAATGACATTTGACGAATTGCTTTGTTCCTTTTTTTGGATAAAAGCGTCTTCTAAATATGTAGCCTAATAACTGTTATAATAATGATGATATTTATTAGCCTATTATTTGCGTATATCACGGACCCCAAACACACCGCGTCTTCAGGTGACTGTAAATGCGCAAAAACTGTTTCCATTGCAGTTTTGCGAAATATTCCTTTTTCGAATTGCCTGAAAAACCTCCTCATGCGAGCGTAAAAACTTTTTTGCGATAACGGTGCAGCAACGTGGTCAGCTCGGCCCAAAACAATAGAAAATCACACCGGCCCTTCTGGCATGTGCCAGAATTGCCAGATGGCCAATCCGGGCCTGTTCCTGAGCAATAAATCGTGATTTTGTATCACAGGGAGCGAACAATTCCGGGCAGCTGGGACAGGGACACACGGAAGATCAAGCCGAGCCGCGGCGTGCACACGGCGGACTGCAGGCAGAGCAGGTCCGCTGCATAACCGGAGGAGGCGGCCATTCGGCTGTCATCACTGGTTAGCTGGCCTATAACACTATTAAAAATAATAGATATTAATGCTAACACTCTGAAACGACACGTCGTTCGAATTAGTAAAATAATCCTCAAACTGTTTCTGTATTTGCTGACATTATATTTATGGATCAATGGCGCACTCTAGTGGACACTTTGAAGTATGACAACAACATTTCTCCACCCAGAGTCAGGTGACCTGCTGATGTGTGGACACAACCACAAAGGTCAGTTAGGGCTCAGTCACACTTCAGAGGTCATAACCTTTCAACCCTGCCCTTTGTCTGGGTGGGGAAGAGTTCAGCAGGTGTCCTGCGGTTGGGACTTCTCTATTATCCTGACAGGTGAGTGGTTGGGTCATCAAATCCATACTCGTATTCAAATTCTGATAAAAAAAAAAAACGAGCATGTGGATATTGCAGACATCAGTAATATTGAGGTTATTTTTTTTGTTTAGAGTTTGAGTAAATCAAGTGCTCTTAGACCTGCCTATCGAGACTTCCTCTCGTTGAATTCAGTGCTGAATAACTGATATCTGATCCGTGTCTGTCAGGTGACGGTCAGGTCTTGGTGTGCGGCTCCAATGCTTTTGGACAGCTTGGTGTCTCACCAGGGATATCACACTCAGCAGAACCTTTACATGTGACGGTGGGAAGTGAAAAACATAATGAGTCTCTTGCTTAATAGTTTTTATGTGTGAGGATTGTAATAAGTCGTGCTATGTTCTGCTTGCAGACACTGAATGAGCCCGTGACTAGTGTGGCTGCTGGCCTCAGACATGCATTAGCAAGCACAGGTATTACTTGTGACTATATCAAGTAAATATCAGATCTATACATTTGTTTTTAAGTAAAATTTTATAATTAACATTATATTTTTCTAATTATTATAATTTAAATGTTATAATATGTAAATATTTGTCTTTGGAATGTAAAAAATACTAAAAAATAAATATAGATTTTTATATTAAATATAAGAAATAATTTTATATTTAATTGTATACTTTTATTATTTAATTATTATAAATAACTTAAATATTATTTTTTTTACTTATTTTGCTTAGTTGGTATATATGTATATATGTTTTAAATACTGAAAAAAGCTAAATACTTAAATTTATATTTAAAATTCCAATTATATATTAATTATATTGTAATATTATTATTTGTTTTAAATATTGAAAAAATATTATTATTGTTATATTATAATTTAATATGTAATGATATGTACATGTATGTAAAGTATAAAATATATAAAATGTTTAATTATTTGATTTTATATTTGTTTTAAATATTGAAAATAAATATAGGTTTTATATATTAAATATAATAAATTATATATAATTAAATTCATTCTATAATTATCATTTAAAAAATAATAATATTTAATTATTTGTCTTGCCTGGTATATGTATATATTTGTTTTGAATATTAAACATTGAAAAAAAGCGAAAACATTTTACATTTAAAATTCGAATTACATATTAAATATATTTTAATATTATACTTTTAAATATATAAAACAAATAAATATAAGTGTTTAATTATTTATTTAATAATATAATTAGATATTAAATATATTTTAATACTATAATCAACACTTAATTGTGTGTTTTTTGTATATATGTGTGTGTGTGTAAAGCTTCAGGTTGTGTTTATCAGTGGGGGACGGGCCTGTCGAGTCATGCTAAGAGAATGTTGAGTCCACAGCCTGTTCCTGTTCATCTGTCCTCTAAAGAGCCCTGCCTTGTCCCGGGTAACAGTCACACACACACACACACACACACTTAAAGCTAAATCAACCTCACAACACCAGATACACGAGATCTTTCTCCTATTTAATTCATGTCTGTTAAATAATATATATTTAATTAGTAGCACTTTCTGATCTGCAGGGTTAGATCATGTGACCCCACAGAAGGTAGTTGCAGGCTCCACCCACTGCATTTGTTTGACAGGTGAGAGGATTTTTCAAACAAATCAAACTGATTTTGTCCTCTGATCAGTCAGGACAGAGACGAAAGATCGTAGAGTTCCACCAAAGCATTTGAATCCCATATCTCTACAGCGAAGGGTGACGTGTTCCTCTGGGGCAGCAATAAACACGGTCAGCTGGTCAGCGAGAGTCTCTTCCTGACACTTCCTGTGGCGCTGGATCGTTCTCTGCTGCGGGGCGAGAGAGTGACCCACGTCCACAGCGGCTGGACGCACCTCGTCACAAAAACAGGCGAGTCGGGCTACACAAGTCTCACACTAATCTTTATTTTCTTGTGATATTGTTTTCAATATATTATGTATTTACAGAGAGTGGCCGGGTCTTCACATGGGGCAGATCCAATTACGGACAGCTAGGACAGACCAATCAGGGTACGGAAAAAGAGCCTGACGATTCAACCAGCTCTGGCCGAACTATAAGCCACCCCGTCGAGATTAAAGCTTTATTTGGAGCGACACAGGTATGTTATCAGCCATATACTGTGCTAAAAGTATCCATATACTGTAAAGTAGCCATGATTTTACCACAAATAATAATTTGAAGTGAATTGACTACAACCCCCGTTAACTGTGGCAAAATCACTGCACTGCTTTTCGTGGCTTATTGTGAAGTGGTAATAAATGCAGTATGATCCAATATACCAATGTTCAATAAATAATAATTAGAATTATCAAATAAATATGGAAGGCCATTTTTAAAATCATCAAAAATCATGCTTTGGTAAATCGTAGTTTTGAGATGAGTAAATCGTAATTATGGCATAAAAAGTCAGAATTATTAGATAAAAGTAAAAAAAGTCAAAATTATGATTTCATCATAATTATAATAAAAAGGTGAAATTATGACTGGAAAAGTCAATATTATGAGACAAGAAGTTGAAATTATGTGATAAATCTAAATTATTATATATTAAGTCATATTATGAGATTAAAAAAAAAAATTATGAGAGTCAATATTATGAAATTAAAAAATGTATGTTATGAGATAAAAAGTCAAAATGATGGCAATCTTAATCATAATTATGAGATAAAAAGTTGCAATTATGAGAAGTCAAAATGACGACAAACTTAATCATAATTATTAGATAAAAAGTTGATGATATATGATATACTTAATCATATTATAAGATTAAATATTTAAACGATGAGATAAATCAAAATGATTATATACATGAAATTATGAGATAAAAAGTCAAAATGATGGCATACTAAATTGTAATTTTATGAGATAAAAATGTGAAACTACGAGATAGTCAAAAAATATGACACTAAGTCAGAATTTAGATAAAAAAAATTCATTATGAGATAAATCAAAATTATGACATGCTGAGTCTTAATTATGAGTTCAAAAGTTGAAATTATTATCGAATTTTGATGTCATAATTTTAGCTTTTTGCCATAATTTTGACTTAGTATATAATAATTTAGACTTTTTATCTAATAATAATGATTATGAATCATTCATGTCATCATTATGATTTACCAAAGCATGATTTTTCTTATGTTGTGGAAAGACAATAATGTTCTTCACTCAAAGGCAAGAGAAAGCAGTATATATAGTCGTCCAGTAGGGGGCGAAAACACACTGTTCATTCCCACAGTTCTTCCTCACATCTGCCCAGAGACACACGCTGATTTGATCTGAAGGTCATCACTTGTCTTACACCGTAGAGAACGCAGCATCTGTGCGCGTCCGTGTTGAACAGAATGACTCAATGACAGTGTGTTATGCTCAATCTCAGGTTTTACGTGTTTGATGAGTCACCGAACCTTGAAATGAAAGATCAGCCTTCAGATACTGTGAGCGACAGAAAAGAGACATTTGGCATTTACATCTTTTTGCATTGGTTCTTCAAGTTCAAGTTAGTGCTCAGAGGGACGTGTTGTCCAGAACGCGGTCTAGACTGCGAAACATATTTCTCTCTGTCAGATCTCCTTGCTCCTTTGTCTTGCGCTCTCACCACTTTCTGCCAGGTCGATGGACCTCATGTCATTTTTAATCCTGAAAAGTTACTTATGCTACAACGTCCTGCCATGTCGATGAGCGGAACTGAGGACGGGACAGGGGACGATATCCTCTATAAGGGACGGGGAAAGTGTAGCGGGGGTCTGGGGACACATTTAGCCTTCAGTGACTAACGGAATATAAAGTTTTCCAGCTGAACTGTTGAGTTGAGGCTTAAAGGAATATGTTATCAGTAACTCGACTTTCATTCTCCTGTGGAACACAAAAGGAGATTTTGAAGAGTCGTACGACGGCTTTGTGCGACAAGTGTCGTTATAGCTAACTAAAACGTTTTTTTTTGTTCATTGAAATAAAGCTGAAATAAATTATAAATATTAAATGAAAAACTTAAACGAAACGACAATTTTAAAATGATGCCCTGACAACTGAAAACTAAAACCGAACTATTTAGAAATATTTTACTATTTAACTTTTTAAAACTACTAAAAATGCTGAAAGCACATAACAAAATTACTAAAAATTAAACTATACAAATATATAAATGATACTTAAATAAGACAATGTCTGGAAATTAAAGTAATTATTTACTTTTTAATCGTTATTAATTGTCTCATCCAAGTTATTAATAGTTTATTATTAGTTATTATTAATTGTCTCATCCAATCTCCATCAGCTGCTGATTCATGCAGGGAGTTGAACATTGATTTGTTCACAGTTAGATATGTGAACAAATCAATTAGACCAATTTTGGGAACCGGATCATATCTTTCTGACTCAAAAGAGCAATTTAATGAAAAATTGGTACGAGAGCTAGGGCTAATATTACAAATTGTAATCAATAATGCCTCATATTTTAGTGGAATATATTGTACGAGTCATTTGGGCAACTTTTATGATACATTTATGCTGCTTTTGTGTTCTTCTTGAATCTTAAAAGTCTCAAGGTGCGTCCCAATTCATGCACTTATTCACTATTCTATGACGTTTTGTAGTATAAATAGTGCGAGTAGTGTGGAAAAAGTACACTTTAAAAACCCAGATGAAAATCCAAACGGCTTGATTATTGAGTGTTTTTTAGACTTTTTGAGGATTAAAAAAAAATGAATGGATTTTTTTCATTGTATGATGGTTGTCCACACACTGCAAAGACACAGTTATATGCAAACACCATATAAAAGTGAATTTGCATCCGATGACCCCCTTAAGAGTCAAAAAAACATTTAGGCAAAACAAAATGAATACCCGTGGCTCCTGACGATTCATGGAGGTCTTATGAAGCGAAACGATCGGTCTGTGCAAGAAACTGAACATTATTTACAGCATTATCACCTGTAATCCACAGCCTCGGCAAATGGTCCTCAGCACGTTCACGGCAGTCTGGAGCGTGAGGTAATAATGCTGTAAATAATGTTCAGTTTCTTGCACAGACCGATCGTTTCTCTTCATAAGACCTCCATGAATCGCCAGGGTATTCATTTTGTTTTGCCTGTTTATTTTTGTTTGACTCTCAAAGTGATGGCAGCCATTGACTTGCATTATATGAATCAACCGAAAAAAATAAGTGTGTAATGTTGACATCGGCATCAGACTCTGATGATGAATGACAAATAAACTTATAAAATTCATACACTACACAGTTGAGTAGCTACATAGTGCATAAGTACATAGTGTATAGTGCGTCATTTGGGACACAACTTCACTAAGCCTTTAAAACCATAAATTGTACTAGTATGTTTTTTAGCACCATTGACAGTCTATATTGTGTCTAAACTGTTGTTTAGACTTTAGATCGATTGTTCCCACCCCCAAATCAGGCCAATCAGGGGGGAGTTAGCATCTTCACCGGCTCCAGACTGTGAGATTTCCTATCAGTAGATGAAACATAATACTGTGTTCTAAAGATGACGGTGTTCCTTCCTGGATACGGAGCTGAACTCCCAGTAATGGGTGGTGTAATTTCTTAATGAGTTTGTTCACACGTGAAGGTGCAGCCATCAGTCAGTCAGTTTCACACATGCACCCGGAGTCCTGCTGTGTGTGTGTGTGTGTGTGTGTGTGTGTGTGTGTGTGTGTGTGTGTGTGTGTGTGTGTGTGTGTGTGTGTGTGTGTGTGTGTGTGTGTGTGTGTGTGTGTGTGTGTGTGTGTGTGTGTGTGTGTGTGTGTGTGTGTGTGTGTGTGTGTGTGTGTGTGTGTGTGTGTGTGTGTGTGTGTGTGTGTGTGTTCCCACAGTGCAGTGCTGTACCTGAGGCTTCATCACAGTGCCTGAACATGTCTGTGTGGGACACCTCGTCCTGTTCTTCTTTATCAAAAGCACATGGGTACTAAAAAATAGCTCTAGGCACTGATTAGGATCTCAGTGTTCTATATTTTATATTCAGCAAATATGTTTTATAATTCATTTTATAATGTTATAATATTAATAGTATATTATCTAAATTATATATGATATATAGGTTATGTTAAAATATAAAGTTTATATAGATTTAATAATGTGTGTGTGTGTGTGTTTTAAAATAAATCAAAATATAATACAGAAAATAATTATATATTAAAGAAATATTTATATTTCACTTTTATATTTTATAATATAATATAATATACAATTATATAAATTATTTATATATGGTATTAAATAATTCATAATTAATTAAATATGTATAAACTGTATTTACTTTATTTATATTTCACTTTATATTTTATGATATTAATTTTAAATAATATATAATTATATAAATTATTTATAGATGGTATTAAATTATTAATAGATAATTAAATAAAATATACTATTAATGATATGTTACATAATATTAATAAAAAATATTTCTGCTTTATATATATATATATATATATATATAATTACTAAATATAAAAAAATATTAAATCATTATTTATTTATCTTCATCATTCTAACCCATTCAGACCCTGCGTCCATTACAATGGACATCACATGTCAGCCTCCTTTTTTTTTTAACTTCTGGAGCATTTCACCTAGTTTAAAGCCTGCAGTCCATGAGATTGGACGTTTGTCATCCAATCAAATGGCAGTAAAGCTCTGCATGTAGTAATTATAAAAAAATACACTTCATTGAAGAGAAGCATGGCAGCACTTCACTCCAAGCACAGAAGCAAGCAACATTTTCTATGGTTTTATTGACATTTTTTATATATTTTTGCCATTATTTCATAGTTTGTATGTAAAATAGAAAGATTGAACTTATTAATTAAAAGTTAAAAATCGATTGTAGAATTGCACGTTTTAAATCAGGGTTTTTTCAAATGTGTCTGTCCATTAGAATGGACAGTGGGTTCGAAAGCCTGTTACTGAAATCACATGTCCAGTAATGCTGATTGAAATTTCTTATATAAAAAAATCTATATCACAGTACCGATACATTTTTGAAACTTTTTCATATGCAGAATATACAGTTCTTGAAGTGCTTGAACATATAGCTGATGGAAATATCTCAGATGTTGACTTTATGTGGAGTGATGAGGAAGATGGAGATGTAAGAAAAATATTTGTATTTAAAACTTTATAAAGTAAAATAACTAGCTTCCGGCCAAATGAACATACGGATTTGACTTCAATCTAAAGTGCAACTTGAATATGAATATTTTTCATATTTTATTTTATATTAATATTTTTTTATGGATATACACTTTTATGATGGATAGATGCACTTTTATGATGGAAAGATATGATGGATAGATGCACTTTTATGATGGATAGATGCACTTTTATGGACTTTCAAAACAGAAACAACCATTCACTGCCATTACAAATCTTGGAAGAGCCAGGGCATTTTTTTATATAACTCTGATTGTATTCGTCTGAAAGAAGAATGTCATATACACCTAGGATGGCTAGAGGGTGAGTAAATCATGGGCTAATTTGAATTTTTGGGTGAACTATCCCTTTAAAGGTATAGTTCACCCAAAAATTATATTTGTCAGCACTTACTCACCCTCATGTTGTTCCAAACCTGTATGAGTTTCTTTATTCTGCTGAACACAAAATAAGATATTTTAAAGAATGTCGGTAACAAGACAGTTGACAGTAGCCATTGACTTCCATAGTATTTTTTTTCCTACTATATATTTTCCTAATAACTATATTATATTATTATAATATAATATTATCATTATTAGAAACTATTTTGAAAATTACAATAATATTTAGCAGTAATGTATCAATATAGATATTACAGTACAATACCGTATAATTAATTACAGCAGAAGCAGACCAAATTACGAAATACAGTAAAAATACAGTAAAGTACTATTTTGTAGTTTACAGTACTGATCTTGTGCACTGTAAAGTGAATTACACTACAGTTACTGGAAATCGAAATACAGTAACTTGCTGGCAACCGTGCTGCCAGTAATGTACTGTAAAAATACAAGAAAACCGTTAACAGAGAAATTGTTTCAAAGATGCACACTGGAAATGACTCTAACGTGAATGCATTAATTGATTCCTAGGTTTATTTTGTTATGAATAAACAAATGTGCGATCTATAAAGCAAAAACCTTACAATTAAAGTTGCAATGTTATAATGTTCAAGTTTTTGATCTAAAAAAAAAGAAAGATGCGCACAGAAAATGACTTTAATATGACCATATTGATTGATTCGAAGATATTTAGTTTGTTACAAACGATGTGCAATCTGTAAAACAAAAACCTCAAAATTAAAGTTGAAATGGTATACTGCTGAAAAGTTTTTGACCTTGAGAAAAAGCTTAAAGTATAGACCAACAAATTTTATGTTTATTAATTTATTTCATGTTGGTACATTTTTGGGAAGTACACCTGTTTTGACCTGACGTCCATTGGAATGGACAAAAAAAATTACAATGAAAGACAATATTTTTTAAAATTATTTTCATTTGGTCTCATTAATAGAAGCCTCATGAGCTGGGAAAATGTACTTTTATATTTTTCAGAAACTTGAAACATAATTCAGGTCTGAAGGGGCTAAGCACAAAATATATTTATATATCATTTATACTATTTAGATTGTATATCAATATTTTTAGTTAATTTAATATTAAATATTATTTATTGATTTATTTATTTTATTAATTGTATTATTTGATGGGAATGTGATTTGGTTGGTCTCTTCACATGTCAGTCAGACGGTCTCTTTGAGTTCATTTCTTGGCCATCTGCATGTTCTAGCGCTCCCTGCCACTGATCTGACAGCAGTCCTCAGTGGCTTGGACAGTCCCTGTCCTCTGTCTGGAAGCTGTTTTGACTGGCTGTGTGTGTTTGTGTGGCGTGGGGTCAGCTGGGGACGCTGGGTGGAGGGGGTTGTTTTGTTGGTGATGGCGAGAGAAACAGAATACATCAGGACAGATCATGGTTGTGGAGTCTGACAGGAGGCTCCTGCTTTTGTTTGTATCTGCAAAAGACCTCGCTTTGTTCTTTCACTATCAGTTGACACAAAGTCCACAGCGGATGCGAGCAGAAGGTCCTTGTGCTTCACCCATAACAGGCAACATTGCTACTTAATGCTATGAATTGATATTCATTATCTATTTAAATGACTATTACATCACCATCTCGTATTTTTTATGGTTTCAGTGTATCATTCATATATTTTGTTTATAACTATATATATATATATATCCATTTGAAGCATTAATAAAATTTAAGAAACATTCTGTAACTTATTCTAAATATTTAAAATGAATACAAAATTAAATACATTGCATAGTTAATTCTAAATTAAGATAATTATGTTTTGTTTCTAACTATATTTATGTCCATTTAAACAATATTAAAAATGTTGTGTTCATATAATAGCCTACATGAGTGCTTTACATAAAAAGGATTTAAAATAATCATAAAATAATAACAAAACAGATGCAATAAAAGCAAAGAATAGAGAAAATGATTACATTTATTTCAAATGTTAACTTTTAATAATAAAAAAGGATATATAAATAATATGATTTCCATTACATGAGAGTAGATGTTAAAACTTCATGCTGATTTGTACTCGGCTTTCGCCAGGATAAGCAACACTAAGACGTAGCTTTACAGTAAACTATGCTTCTCCATCCATTTACGCTTCTTTCCATATGGTGGTGTGACTCCCCTTCTGTCCGGCGTTGGCGCGTCAGCACACACGACGGCTGCGACTACAGTGTGGTCTCCCTAGTGGACCAGCACGACAACCGTCTGGATTGAGCCGAGTAGGGGACATCTCTAGGGTCTTCAAGTGGGCACCTTCCGTCCTCAATGTTTCGTCGACTAGCCCTCGACACCTCAAGAGGGCTCGACAGTGACTCTGGCGTCCCAGAGTCACCCCCCTCCGTCCCCCACTCAACTCAGCCCAGCTTACTGACCTCTACATCCCTCCTGCTGCTGAGACCTAACCACAATCTCACAATCTCTCCGCAACCCAACCATACGCGCCACCCCGTTTGACTAAGGCTGTCGAGCCCCACTGGTGCGTTAATAGGCAGTTTCAGTGGCAACGGTTCCGTATGGCATACCACCTACCGCAAAACACAATATCTGCCCAACCACCCGTCATTCACGCAATATCCACAGGAACGTAATGACTGTAAATACTATGCAACCTATACAAATAAACCAACAGACTATTCAAGTTTTTCAATAATTCTACGAAACCGTAGCATGGCGGCCTGTACACAGCCAGCTAGAATCTTTCCGTCTCAACCACAGCCAGTCGCTGCACCTTTCTGCTGCTTCAGATAAGTTCTTTACTGTGCGACGCAACTCTTGGCCGCTGAATCCGACGTCTCTGAGGAACCGGGTTGTAGAGTGTGCCACAAAACCTCGACAACCCACTTCCACTGGATAAACCTGGACTCTCCATCCTCGCTGTTCTGCTTCAGTGGCCAGATGAGCATACCGCAGTTTCTTCCTCTCATATGCCTCATCTACCGCATCCTCCCATGGCACTGTTAACTCTATCAGTTGAACAATGCGTGCTGATCCAGACCACAAAACAATATCTGGTCGTAGGTTAGTGGTGGCAATCTCAGGTGGAAAAATAAGCCGTTGGTCAAGATCAGCCAGCATCTTCCAGTCCCCAGCAGCTTCCAGTTGTCCTGGGCTAGAATTGGTGTTAACACCTTTTCTTGGTGGTTGCTCGCCTGGGCGGAGGAATATTGTCTTCTGCGTGTAATGTTTTGCTAGAACAGGCGGCAACTTATTGGTCATACTACGCTTGCCTTCCAATGCTAAAGCCAAACACCGCAATACTTGGTATCGCAAATACATAAAAATATTAAATAAATCATTCTAAATAATAAATGGAAATATTCTATATATTATTCAGCATTTATAAATAAAAATATGTCAGTTGATTTTAAAATTAAAATAATTATTTTTCGTTTCTAACTGTGTGTATATCCATTTAAATCAGTACTCAAATTAATATAATGCTCAATCTAATAAATATTCTGTAAATTATTCTAAATTAATAAATAAATCATTCTAAATAAATAAATGGAAGTATTATATGATATATAATATAAATTTACAAACATTTATAGATTATTCTCAATTAATACAAAAATTAACATATTCCATATATTATTACAAATAAATTAAATTAATAAATTGCTCTAAATGTTTTTCTCGTGCTTGCAGCTGTGTTATGTCTTCCAAAGTCAAATACAGAAAGGTGCATTTAGGTTTAGGTTTATATATATTTGATTGGTCGTTAAACAAGAGAAGTTTCAAGGTTCTTTCAGGCCCACCAGCTCTGCTGCCATTTCTCATGATGCACCGGTATAATTTCCACTAATACGAGTGTGTTTGTGTGGACGGCATCCTCCCAGCTCTGGCAGACAGCATTAGCGATGTGTTTTTATCCACTGGCAGCCCATTTCCTCTGCGTAATGAGCTCTGATCACCAAACATTAATAAACCAACCAGAGACGCCCGGTCACCCACTCACATCCTCACTGGTTGTCATAGTAATGGACATATGACTCCAGCATTGGGGCCGGTTGTGTGTTAATCACTCTCCTCGTACCCGCTTCCCTGCAGGGAATGTTCGATTCAGACATCCCGACTTCTGTTACATGTGATTCAATGTGTGACCTGAGTCAAACTGAGGTCTGTTTGTCGTCTGTCAGCGGTTATTGTGTTTGGACTGCGAGCATGTAAGAGCACGTGATGTGTGTTTCTCACAAATTTCTCCCTGTTTTTTTGCAGATCGCTTGCGGATCTGAACACAACTTGGCTGTTGTGGGTGAGTACAGTGAGAAATTGAAGATTTGATTTGATTTGGTAAGCATGCATGACTCTTTGCACAGATTACTCGGGGATTATGTTAGGAATGTTTGCAGTATGTAGTCTCCATGGCAACACCTGTTGTCTTCATGTATCCGATGGCCCATCACAGTCATTGGAAAGAAAGCTGCCAGGGCCTCCGTCACGCACTCTTAGACCTGAGTACTGAGACTCAATCTTTGCCGCCCATCAGAGAAACAAACGTTATGCTGTGATGTGCATGAGATGCACGAAGTCAGGGGGTTTTCTGTTTTCTGTGAGCATTGTCGAGTGAAAAAAAAGTGCTGTCAAATCGATTAATCGTGATTAATCACGATTAATCGCATTTATCGTAGAAGTTTGTAAATATATGCGTCTGTGTGTTTGTATATGTGTGTCTATATGTATATATATATATATATATATATAACACATATATACACGTGTATATATATATATATATATATAGATATAATTTTTTTTTTTACACATTTGTACATTAGATGTGATTAATGACGATTAATCGATTTGACAATAATATATCTATTTAGTATAATAATCACCATGGGAAAATCTCAGAGTAAAACTGGGAGTTGTGAAAAATATGATACACTGGTGTTTTGTATGTAATATGTAATAGTTATTTATTGCTCGATTTTGTATAAAATGAAACCATTATTTTATTGACAATCAAGCAAATTTCCCTTAAATTCTTTTAACTGTAATGCATTTGAATGTTTTACTTTTGTGTTTGTCATAATCTTAAATTATGATATTTATTATCCTCTACTAATACAAATGATTTTTAATAAAAGTATTACATTTAATATATTTAAATATATATATATATATGTATTAAATTTATTTAGCTAGCATAAAACATACATAGGAACATAGGATGATGACAAACACTAAAGTACAAACACTGTGTGTGTGTGTGTGTGTGCGTGTATATGTATATATATATACACACACACACACACACACACACACACACACACACACACACACACACACACACACACACACACATATATATACATATATATTCTTTATAGGTTTCCTGACTCCCATCAGATTCTCTCTTGCGTCGAGGTTCATCACATATACAGTTGCCATGGCAATCATTCTACAGTATCTTTAGGTGTAAAGTAGCTTATTATGGGATGTGACTGCTCTGACATTGAGCCGGGGGAGAAAAAAGACAGGATTAAAGGAGAGTAAGCCAGAGATTCCACTAAGCCTGATGGCCAGAATTAACTCTGGAACCAGCTCTGGCTTCTGTACTTTTGAGACTTCAGTGTCTGGATTTCAGTAATAGGACATTTTCAGCACTACGTCTTTAGCATTAGTTAGAGATGAGTATCTGTTGCTGGAGTAATTAAGCCGCCGCTCCATGCTGTGATCTTTAGCGTATCATAGAAGGATGCTGGGAATTAGTCCCTGTGCCTTTGTGCAAGGGCATCAGAGGGAAATGAGCAATCACTGAAAAAGAATATGAAGTCAGGTTTAGTTGGAAAGAAATAGAAATAGCTTCTATTACATCTATTTGTTAATTCCCCAACAACTTAAGAGTTAAAAAAGTAACACCATTGACTAATTGCAGTTCATGCAGAGTTTAAAACTTATGCATTCTTGCTGTCTTTGCCTCAAGTTACTGTAATATTATTCTGTTGTATTTTATCCCAAAATCAAAAGGAAAGATGAGAATTAATATTTTGCATAAAAAAACAATGCCTTCTTAGACCATTAAGACTTTTTGCATTATTATTATTACATTGAAGCATTCTAGGCCCCAAATTCTCATTACCATCATGCAAAAAATATATAATTGTACATTGTATATTGTAGTGCCTTCGCTGTCTAAGGGCAATGATATCTTCTCTTAAATTTTGGACTATTCTTTTGACTTAGCCGTATTTCTAACATGCAGTCAAACGTGACACTAGCCAATTCAGGTATTTCATGTGTTCTAGCTCAAGCACACCTGATGCAACTAATGAAGCCCTTGATTAGTTGCATTAGTTGTGCTTGAGACAACACCTGTTTTGCAGTCTGTGCTGTTGTGAGAGATTCTATTAAGGGGGTTGAATCTTGCCAATAAAACTGATTTGCAATGGAGGTTGAACACTTTAAATTACAACTATATATATATATATATATATATTATTTAATTTTTTTTAATAGTAATGGTAATTGTGATTTAATGTGTATATATATAATTCTTTAATGGTTAATTTTATTTAAATTATTATATATATTTAAATCATGACAACGCTCGGAATAGATTTAAACAGCATTTAGTGATAAGAATGAAGTGTACATAGGATTAGTATTGGCAGACTAGATCTTCTGCTGCTGCATGAGTGAAAGCTACTGCCGAAACATGCACATAAATACAGTGAAAGAATGCTGCAAGGAAAGTTGACAAAAGTGGAGCCGGTTTGTTGGTTACGCAGATAGAACAGATTGATTGGTCAGCTTGTGGAATGTGGAAGCAGTTCATCAGCTGAGAAGGTAACCTAAAAAAGAGCCCGATTACCTTGAAAAGAAGAATCGATGATTACCAAAGAACTATTCATTTCTTGGGGAACTTGAGGTTTATCTTTTGTTCCTTTGTGCGATGCACCCTCGGGTACAAAATCATGACGTCTCATTGCACCACAGAGCAAATGAATAACATCTCAACATGCCTTGGGAATCTCATATAGCATTATCTAAACACACATGACTCTTCTCAGAGGACATCTTTAAATGAGCGTTAATCGGTTTAGGGACTGTGTGCATTATACACCACTGACCAGTGGCCATGGTCAACCATCTTTTGTTTGAAACGAATCGCACAGCCACGTCTTTTTTATTTCATTATTTCTCTTGTCTAGATTAGTATGCTGTCCTATATTCTATGGTCTGTAAGTGTGTTGCTATGGGAACAGTTTAGCTGTGCATCTGTGACTGAACAGTAGATGAATTAGACATCATCCACACTCAAAGACAATGATTTGGTAAACAAAAACAGAAATTGTCATGTTTTTATGTTCAAAATGTTATTGTCATGCACAAGTGTCCTACTTTTATTTTTTTATTTATGATTCTGCATAATTGTAGCCCGTTTACAGAGAAGAAAAGAATGAGTTTAAAAAGACTTTAAAGTGTAACAGTGTAGGGGTAGTGTGGGGAGAAAAGGGGGGAGGGGGGAGGGGGTTGACAAAACGAGTTACCCTTGAGAAAGCATCCTCACTCCTGGTTGCCGTGGCGACGGGACCTGTTATGTAACCATGTTGCCGTGGCACGTGCTTTCATGGCGATGCGGGCTTGACCACACCCACCAGCTGGACGTGTTCGAGGTGTTTAAGTCTGCGACTCTCCGTTAGACTGCAGGAGGGTCTGAATGATTCACAGGTGTGATGTGTGCACAAGAAACCTGCTTCATGGGGCTTTTTTCATTCAGAATCATTTTTAACATCCCAGTGATATTTCTTTTCTTCCTTTTTATTATTAATTTTGTAAATGCTTTTACCAAAACTACTTAAACATTTCAGTATGTATGTTTGCTGTGAATCGAACCTTTGATGTTGCAAGCTTGATAGTCTGTCTGTCTATCTATATACCTGTCTGTCTGTCTGTCTGCCTGTCTATCTATACGCCTGTCTGTCTGCCTGTCTGTCTATCTATACGCCTGTCTGTCTGCCTGTCTGTCTGCCTGTCTATCTATACGCCTGTCTGTCTGTTTATCTGTCTGTCTATCTATACGCCTGTCTGTCTGCCTGTCTGTCTATCTATACGCCTGTCTGTCTGCCTGTCTATCTATACGCCTGTCTGTCTGTTTATCTGTCTGTCTATCTATACGCCTGTCTGTCTGTTTATCTGTCTGTCTATCTATACGCCTGTCTGTTTATCTGTCTGTCTATCTATACGCCTGTCTGTCTGCCTGTCTGTCTATCTATACGCCTGTCTGTCTGCCTGTCTGTCTGCCTGTCTATCTATACGCCTGTCTGTCTGTTTATCTGTCTGTCTATCTATACGCCTGTCTGTTTATCTGTCTGTCTATCTATACGCCTGTCTGTCTGTTTATCTGTCTGTCTATCTATACGCCTGTCTGTCTGTTTATCTGTCTGTCTATCTATACGCCTGTCTGTCTGTTTATCTGTCTGTCTATCTATACGCCTGTCTGTCTGTTTATCTGTCTGTCTATCTATACGCCTGTCTGTCTGTTTATCTGTCTGTCTATCTATACGCCTGTCTGTCTGTTTATCTGTCTGTCTATCTATACGCCTGTCTGTCTGTTTATCTGTCTGTCTATCTATACGCCTGTCTGTTTATCTGTCTGTCTATCTATATACCTGTCTGTCTGTCTGTCTGCCTGCCTATCTATACGCCTGTCTGTCTTTCTGTCTGTCTATCTATACGCCTGTCTGTCTGTCTGTCTGCCTGTCTGTCTGTCTATCTATACGCCTGTCTGTCTGCCTGTCTGTCTGTTTATCTATCTGTCTATCTATACGCCTGTCTGTCTTTCTGTCTGTCTATCTATACGCCTGTCTGTCTGTCTGCCTGTCTGTCTATCTATATCCCTGTCTGTCTGTCTATCTATACGCCTGTCTGTCTGCCTGTCTGTCTGTTTATCTATCTGTCTATCTATACACCTGTCTGTCTTTCTGTCTGTCTATCTATACACCTGTCTGTCTGTCTGCCTGTCTGTCTATCTATACGCCTGTCTGTCTGCCTGTCTGTCTGTTTATCTGTCTGTCTATCTATACACCTGTCTGTCTGTCTGCCTGTCTGTCTATCTATACGCCTGTCTGTCTGCCTGTCTGTCTGTCTGTTTATTTGTCTGTCTATCTATACGCCTGTCTGTCTGTTTATCTGTCTGTCTATCTATACGCCTGTCTGTTTATCTTGCTGTCTATCTATACGCCTGTCTGTCTGTCTGTTTATCTGTCTGTCTATCTATACGCCTGTCTGCCTGTCTATCTATATGCCCGTCTGTCTGTCTGCCTGTTTACCTGTCTATCTGCTCGTCTGTCTGTCTATCTGCCTGCCTGTCTATCTGCCTGCCTGTCTATCTATATGTCTGTCTGCCTGTCTGTCTGTTTATCTGTCTATCTGCCTGTCTGTTTATCTGTCTGTCTGTCTGTCTATCTGCCTGCCTGTCTGTCGGTCTGCCTGCCTATCTTGCCTGTCTGTATGTCTATCTATAAATCTGTCTGCCTGCCTATCTGTCTATCTGTCTATTTATATACCTGTCTGTCTGTCTGTCTGTCTGTCTGTCTATCTATTGTTGTGAATCAAGTTGCAGCAACATTGTCATGGAATATATTTCACTGTCTCTCTTCAGGGGGTCGGATGTTCTCCTGGGGCTGGAATGAACACGGAATGTGTGGAGACGGTTCCCTTTGTGACATCACGCAACCACGGCCAGTCCCTGGTCTCACAGACGCTACGGCTCTTCTGATTGGCTGTGGAGCAGGACATTCAATGGCACTTTGCAGTTTGAAGAGCAACAAGGATTCTGCAAGCTGAACAGGTTTCTGCGTTTGTCTCTCTCTCTGTTTGCTTTCGTTACGTTTTAATGAATTATTCAGAAAGACATGTTTAAGCCTTTAAAGGACAGATTTTAGATCAAAGTCTCAGAGATGCAAATACTACCTACGGATGATCACATTATGCTTATGACATCAGGAAATAAACAGGCACAGGAACACTAGGCCCAATCATGCAAATATTCATAGCTTAAAGGAGAGGCCTTCATTGGTTTTGTTTTTAAAATTATAATGACATTATATGGCTCTTTTTTTCTCCAATTAAATACCAAAAAAAAGTAAATCTATATGCATTCACTGATGTATTTCGGCATGTATATACTGTCCTAGTGCCTTCACAACCATTCAGAAAGACTGAAATTCAATGAGGAGACAAATTCAATCAGACACTCATTTTCGTGATGGGTTTTTGTCAGCACTGAAATGGCCATTCACGCTTCCTTTGCTGTGATCGACGGTCAAGGATCATTTCCTCTGACTTTTCACCTCAGGGACAGAGAAAACCCTTAAATAACCTTCACTGTAAATCCACCGTAAAACCGATTTACTGCTAAGAAATGACCTGTCTGAAAACAATCAATCTCACAGAATACCCAATGATGGAGTAATAATCTACTAAAGATACTCAACAAAGCTTGAAAAACCCACACAACACACAAAATCTGGTTTAGTGCTTTTTATTATCATTGGGGTTTTTTTTCTCTCTTCAGAAAGACACAAAATTGCCTTAACAATGTCAACTCAAACCATCAATGAAAACACCACCTGGTTTTAAATAACTATCCATACTATGCACTGCAGTGAGCTGAAAAACACAAGGAACGTCTCACAAAACGGCACAAACGTTTGAGATGCCTCATTTTGCCAGGAAGTTCGATATTCACTGTGCAAAAACTATTCAGTCCCAATGACTGTACACATCTTGAGTTTTATTTATATGTATAATATATATTTATTACTCATTGATGTTTGTGCTCTGATGTGGTTGGGTCTTTGAACAGTCCAGCATATTGTAAGGAAACGACCCAATGTTGACATTCCTGTGATGCAACTGGCAGTGCGCTAGTTTGGTCCCAAAGAATTGGGTTTACTTAACATTTTCACAACAATGAAAAATAAACGTCGAAACAAACTTAACAGTATCGGTTCCTTTCATATATTCCATCATAAACCCTGTATGTTCTTGTTCTCTATAAAGAGTCGTGTTGTTATACAGTGCAGGATTGTCTCTTGTGATGGTTTTTATGAAAACCGCTATAATAATGTGTCTGCCAAAATAGCTTGTATATTCACATTGAATTTTCAAATGCAAACTAAGCGTTTATTAAACATTTTCCTCATCAAACTCAATGATGGTGTCATTCCTTCAAAAATTGTGAGTTTGGTCCCAATGATGCGCTATTTCACCTTCAAATCCAACATCACATTCTAACCAGGCGCGACACTCAATTTTTTTTACGCTCAAAGTGAAAATGCTACGCCAATCACAGCTACTGACGATGTATATTAAACATCAAATATGAGTGAAATTTTGGACCAATGAGATTCAATTGTGGGCGGAGCTTCCCAGCATGTTAGGTCGCGCCTGATTAGGACACGGTGCATCTCGAAAGTTGCCAGCCAAACATGTGAGCTACAAAATATATCAAATCTGTCGTTTGTTTTACAGAAAGGAATGTAAAAGTGAACGGTGCAAACAGTGCAAAAGGCATTTCTACATGGTAACTACAGTTGTACAAAATACAGGAAAACTATTGCTTTTTTTTACTCACACATGATCACAGAGCACATGTTTTCATTGTTTTCTTTTTTTCCCACTGAAATGATTAGCGACTGGAGTAACATTTTTACAACATTTAAACCACCAAAAACAAACACTTCAACGAGATAAAAGAAAGATTTACTCAACACCAGCACATACAAGCACCTTGTACAACACTGACACTCACGAACAGAAAAACAACAGGCACTTCGCACAGCACGATAAACCACAAACCAAACCGCGCTACATACGGCTGAACAACTAGCTTCTGTGCTACATCTACGCTGAATTATTCCCTGTCACAACTCAAAGAAAAGTGCTAATCTACAACAAACACACAGCACGCGCTCTCTCTCACTCACGCACGCACACACACACACGCAAAATACGGTACTATCAGGTGGGGGATGTGGCTTTATGGTTGACACACATAGTGGTTGGTACACCATGGTTCATTACACACACTGACTCGGTTGGTTGTCTGCTTCGGTTGGCACGCCGGGTCTCTAAAAAAACACGAAGAGAAAACAACAACAACAAACAACAAGGAAAATCATATTAATACACCAAACGGACGGCACAGAAACATGGGGGAGGGGGGGGCGGATGGAGAAGGCTGGCGGGATTGTTGTCCCTCGAACCGTGCAAGCAAACAGAGTGACACTCATCAAGCGGGTGACTATGAGCTCCTTTACAGGCTCATTGTAAACTTGGGCTTTTACCATGCGCTCTCCCATGCTCCAAACTGCATTCATTCAGATCCAGTGTAAGTCTACAGTTTATTGTTAAAGGAACAGTTCACCCAAAAATGAATATTTCCTGATTATTTTATCACCCCAGTGCCATCCAAGATGTGTATGACTTTCTATCCGCAGCCGAAGAGAAATTACGGTTTTGGAGGAAAACATTCCAGGATTTTTCTCCATCTGATAATGCAAGTGAATGGTGCCCAACGTAGACCATATTTGACGGTTTGGCAGCTTAAAAGTTCTCCACATGACCCCAGCCGACAAATAAGGGTCTTCTCTAGCAAAATAATCAAATTATATACTTTTATCTATACACATTTTTTGCCTTGGTCCAGCTCTGCGAATCACGTTCATGAGACGGTTGAGTTCACGACCTCTTGCACATTGGAAAGGTTACGCATGATGTAGGCGGCAAGAACCACCCCATTGTTTACAAGAAGAGTTTACATCAATCATACACACATAAACGGACCATTTTTAACAGTAAACTGAGTAAAAAAATCATGGAATGTTTTTCCTTCAGAACCTCCAAAATGTCTCTTCGGCTGAGGAAAGAAAGTCATATACATCTTGGATGGGCTTGGGATAAGTAAATAATCCCCCCCCAAAAAATTTGTTTAGGTGAACTATTCCTTTAATATGAATAACTCGGGTCATGCTGTGTTTGGGTTTGTACGCAGTGGGACGGTGTGACATGCTTGGTTAATGACTTGTGGCATGCTACCGGTGTGTGAAACAGGGCACGGTCACCGCTAGTCCTGCCTCGGCTCTCCTGTTTCAATCCCCCGCTTTACCGGGAGGTCACACACTTTCTCTTTGACCTTTCCCACCTTTCACGATCCAAATGTGCTTGTGAGTCCTTTTAACAGGACTGAATTATGAGCTAGTAACACTGGTGCATAATTGCAACATTTTCTTTTTTTCAAATATGGACTGTAAAGTCCAAAAATAGCTGACGGAAAAACAGCTTGATGATAAAGACGGGGTGAAAGATCAAAGAGACATCACAATACAGGCACATCTTATTGCCAAGCAACCGGGGAGTTATGTATGCATGTTCTGTCAAAGAAAACCAGAGTCTATATACAGATTGGATACAAAATTTATTTCATGCAAGGTTCATATTTACAGTTTTGTCATTCGCATATGTATTTTTGCATAAAAGTCCATGCATTTACCTCTCCCCAAGTAATCCCAAAAGTACATTGATTATTTTCTTTTTAAAAGACGCTTTTTTTTCTGTTGACTGCACGATACATCTATATTGTTTATTTTCTGTGATTGCGTGTGATTTGCTACAGTGTTAAATGTTTACAAATGTGATATACACATGTAATTACTCCATATTAATCACATTTGAAGCTGAATTTATGAAAAATATGGGTTTTGTGAAAATAAAGCTTCTTTATACAATAGCTGGTATTGTAATTTGAAATTCTGCTATTTAAATTTGCCTGCTCTGGTTGAGAAAAAAACAAGAGTTAAAGTGCATCTTTTTCACTATTTGCATCTTAATACATTTGTCAAAAAGTCAGATGGTCAACTCGATTGCTGCTACTAACAGATACAGGGTGTTTAAAACACACCAGCGATCATAGTTTGGGGAAAGGCAAAAAAAAAATGTCAGGAAAAATAAAATAACAGTTGCTACATATATTGTATGTCATCATAAATGATATCATACTCTGCATCAGATATATTTAAAGAAGCTTTGGGTGAAAAAACATTTTTTTTTCTTACATATTTTCAATAAGCTTACATCATTTTCTCAGATAGTTTCCCATGCAAAGCATGCAAATGCAAATGAAGTTTCTCCAGTCAACTTTCTGTTTGGTGACGTGTGCAGAATCATGATTGTTTGGTGTTTCTTCAAACTAAGTTTATCTTATATATGAAAGAGCCATTGTCTCATCTGTTTTCCTTTTAAATGGTGTCCATAAGCACCTAATGAAAACCACAGCTTTAAACACTCAGGGTTTAGGAAAAAGGAGCAATGAAGGAGAGATAAGGAAGAATGAAAGTGCAGAGATTTGAAAGTGAGGAAAGAAATGAGACTACAAAGAGATGGGAAGGTAGATGACACCACTGCATAAGAAGAGAAGAGAAGAGAAGAGAATGGGGAAAAGAAGAGGAAGAAACAAGGATATACAGGTGAAGGGAGGAGGAAAGGGAAGGAACAGAAGAAAGGCGGAAGAGAAGAGAAAATAAAGAGAAGGGTGATGGAGAAAAGCAGAAAGAACAGACAAGAGAAGGGATGAGGAAAAGGGGGAGGAAGAGGAAGGAGAATAGTGGAAGAAGGTGGAAAACAAGAAAAAAGCTTAGATAAGAGGAGAAGAATGGAGAAGAAAGAGGAGGAGGAAGGAGAGGTAATTAAGAAGATAAAAGAGAAGGGAAGGGCAGAGGGAGGAATAGGAAGGGAAATTGTGAAAGCGAAAACTAAAAAAGATTAGATAGGAGAAAAAAGAATATAGAGGTGGAGGAAGGAAAGACAATTAAGAAGAAGATAAAGGAGAAGAGCAGAAAGGAAGAGGAAGGAGAAGGAAAGAGAATAAGGAGTGGAAGAGGAAGTGGGGAAGGAAGCAAAAGGAAAGAGAAGAGAAGTTTCAAATGAAGTTAAGTAAAATGGGGAGGAGAAAGGAGGAAGAAGGGAAAAGAATAAGAAAACTGATAAAAGAAGGGAGGAGAAGCAGAAACAGAAGCAAAGAAGTTGGTGAAGATCAGGGAGAGGGAAGAGAAAGAAGAAGGGTTGAGAATTAGGAAGAAGAAGAGAAGAGAGGTTTGAAATGAAGGAGAGTTTAATGAGAGACGGATGGATGGCACACAGTGTGAGCAGGCGTCCCAGCGCAGCACTGCGGAGCGAGGGCCTCTGATTGGTTAGTTTTGTTGTCCATGCTACAGGATGGATGGGATGGGAGAGTGGACCTGCTGCATGAGACAGGACGGGCTGCAGGGCAGGGCCGACACTGAGGCCACGCCTCCAGACATGCTGCTGTGGCTCCATGGCTTTTCATAACCTTTATTTGAAGAGAAAAAGGGCTTTCAGTAAAACCTCAGAGCAGCCTTCAACTTTAGACAAAGACTCTCCTCCAAGGCTTGCTTGTGAATAAATATGATTATTGGACAGATAAGCTGAGGTGTGTACTTGCTGAGGTGTGTACTTGTATGTGGTGTTTGCACAGATTAGATTTGGTTACCGTTGCCCTGTCATGTACTTATGTTCATGATTAGCCAGTTGACATTGACTCGTTGCCAAGTCAACTGCATCATCCTCCATGCGTTCTAAGCTTCAAACTGTCTACTGCATGCATGGAGTGGTTTCACAGTGCTTTACAGCACAACACCGGTTCAGAGAGACATCGAAGAACTCAGCCAGACACGTCAGCCCGACAAGCGACAACCATACGCGTATACCCAGTTTAACTGTTACAAGATAATGCTAGTTCTGTTAAATATGGGGCAAACTACAGGGCTAACAGAAGTAATTCTTTCTTATCCTAAAGTATTGCTCAAGGTCTTACCTTTATTATAAGAGTTAAGGAAAGAATTTGATTCTTAATAGCCATGGCCAAGTCTTATCTTGACTACCCTGTTGAAAAGACCAGCATTGTTGTTTAGTCCCAACAAAACTTCTTAACTAGCCTACCCAGCAAGTCTTCCTCAATCATCCAGCATCGAGGAGAAAGACCAGCACCTTACCAGCCTGGATGAGCATGGGAATGTATGTTGGTAAGCTGGTCTTTTCAGTAGGGTAGCATGGACTTGCTAATGGCAACCGTTTGCTGTCATTTTTCTAAATTACGATCGAGAGCTTCTGACTGGCTGAGTTCTTGTCATGTGACCACATGCCCCATATCCCATGCTGCATCTCTTGTGAGATTCACCATCACCAGGACCACCCGCCATTGTGAATCTGCATGCAAACAAGCACACCGCTAGGCAATATACTGAAGCTTATTTCATTTACTGTATAAAACCATCATTTTTTTTCCCATCATTCACTTTTTCATTTAAAATTGGACCCTTACATAACGGTCCACTGAATCTGCCTGAAATACGTACTGTAAAGCATACTGCATTCGCATGAAATACATTAAGAAAAACTGGCACTGCATGTTCTTCTCAAAGATCTTGTTCTGACTGAGCTAAAAAATCAAGAGGCCCGTTGACGGCTCACTTGGATATGTTATTTCTATCGCAGCTTTTCCTGTCAACCTTGGGGTAACGGCAGACCTGAGGAGCTATCAGACTGCGAGAAAGAAGGCTGAGTGACAGTCGGTCGATTTGCACCGAAAGAGCATCTTTGATTGACAGCTGCTCCACTTTAAGACACAGCACTGGCAGTGCTCTGACGGGTAGCAGTGATTGGCTGGGTACGTACCCTTCCTGACTCTCCCCCCCGTGTGATTGGCTCGTTCTCCTCCGGAAGTGAGCAGGAAGCAGGGTCTCTCACGGTCCACGGGGCTGAAGACTTCCTCTGGCGACACCGCCTGGTCGATGTGAGGACAATCCTCATTGGCCAGGGCAGCTTTAGATGGCTCCCCGTTCACTTTAAAATCTCCAGTCACAGGCAAAGAGAGATGACTCATTACAGATTGATGCAATGTGACATGCAGGATTTATTTCACGCTATTAAAACGCCGATACATCCTGAAAGCCAAACCGCTCAAAGTTCAGACCTGATGATATTTAAATGACATTTCTGCAAGAAAGACTGATGCTTTTTCAACCATGCATGATTTTATACCTAGTCAAATGGATTTGATCTAGCATTTACAAACACTAGGAAACCATATTTTCCTGCAATATCATGACCTAGATCAGAGGTAATCAACCCTGCTCCTGGAGACCCATTGCCCTTTCGAGTTTAGCTCCAACCTTAATCAAACAAACTTGAACCAGCTAATCATTTTCAATATTATTTGAACATTGTTGGAGCAGGGTTGACATTTTAAATTCCGTCTAGGAGCATAAATAAATAATCCTGACCTAGATGTAAGAAATTTGACTTCTATTGTATTACTGCATTAGAAGGTTTCCCAAGTAGTAATACATCAAATCGGATGCCCGAAAGTAGAAACTGGACTTGTCTCTTTGAAAATCTCTAGTCAACAGATGTCTTCATCAAAGTGCATTGCAGCAAAAGTCAAAAGTCATTTTTCAAACAATTTAGCGTCATTCACAAACCCTTTCCCCTCTACATCCTTAATAGATACCATGCTCTTTCATGTCAATGTACACAAACAAGAATAAATCTTGATCACATGTTTCTTGTTTAAAAACCTAACAGTAGAAGCTTTATTCAGATGCATCCAACTCAATTGCAATTCAGTCTAGCTAAACATCCAGGGCTCAGCATATCAAAATCATTCTCTTTTCAAGTAAAAGCGTTGCTCTATGTAAACAGAGAACTGAACTAAAACACTTTGTCTCCTTGTCCAAAAGTCCATCTATTGAAACTAAGCTGCAAAAACGCTTTGCAAAAACATGACCACCTACATTAACTCATCCGTGTTCAGCAAACTGACTCATTAACTTGTGGCTAAGTAACAAGGAAGTGCTAAAGGGATTGTTTGTAAGTCTTAAGAACGAGACACACCAAGCCGAAGTCAAAGAACTAGCGGCGACAAAAGCCGACTATGTTGTCGCCTCTCGTCGGCTGCGTCTCGACCAAAAAGCTGCGCTTGAACACACCAATTAGACTAAAGGCGACTGTCAGATAGCATGTGTGTTTAACGCCTGCGTATAACTAAATATGTCTATTTCAGCAGGTATCAATAGTCTATTTTCGTCATTCAAAAAAGGGAAACCGAATACAAACCATAAACAAATCAGCACTTGCTTGCCATTTTGAATATCAATCACGCTGATCACTTCCTTCAATCCAATCGTCTCATGTTATTATGACAATATTAGTGCATTTGAATGCTCAGTTAAGATGACGAAAAAGCCATCTGTCTGCACCGTCTTGACATCTTAGCTTGCCTTCATCACTTTTGCTTTTATTCTTATGCACTGACTCTAAGCTGAACAACCAATCAGAGTTCCCTCTCTCATCAACATGCTGAATCAGCCCAAAAAACCCAGACAGCGGCCAGAAATAGGTTATATAATGATAAAACCAAATCAGTGACGCTCTGGGAAAACAAATTTACGACATTACTCCTTTATAACAAACAGTAACACTGACAAATTTGACAGATTCTAAAATATTAGTTCCTACCTTGGTATCTGATCTCGGAAACCTCTTCCTGTGCCAGGGGGCATGCTTCGCTGTGCGTGCTGGGTCGTGGGGAGTTAATGGCTGACTTGCAGTAGTTAGGAGACCCCAGTTGAGGTGCTCGTGGGATATGCTTATTTTTTTTCTTTGGTAGTTTTTGTTTCGCCATGGCTAGGGAGTAGTACATGCCGAAGTTGTTGACAATGACAGGGACAGGCATGGCGATCGTCAGCACACCTGAAAGGGCGCACAGTGCGCCCACCAGCATACCAGACGTCGTCTGAGGGTACATATCGCCATAGCCGAGGGTTGTCATTGTTACCACAGCCCACCAGAAGCCAATGGGGATGTTCTTGAAGTGTGTGTCGTTACTAGCGTTGGGATCATTGGGGTTTCTTCCGATACGTTCAGCATAGTAGATCATAGTAGCAAAGATCAAGACTCCGAGTGCCAGGAAAATGATGAGGAGGATAAATTCATTGGTACTGGCACGGAGTGTGTGCCCCAGTACCCGCAAACCCACAAAGTGCCGTGTCAACTTGAAGATACGGAGAATTCGAACGAATCGCACCACACGGAGGAAACCCAACACGTCTTTCGCTGCTTTGGAGGAGAGTCCGCTCAGCCCCACCTCAAGGTAGAAGGGGAGGATGGCCACAAAGTCAATGATGTTGAGGGTGTTTCTGACAAACTTTAATTTGTTAGGACAGGTAGTCACTCGGATCAGAAACTCAATAGTGAACCACACAACGCAGACACCCTCAACGTAGGTTAACTGCACCATGGTCTCCGTCTCAGGGATGACTTGCTCCCGAGTTTCATTGCCGACCGTATAGAAATATGTGTGGTTGACGATGGGATTGAAGGCCTCATGAGTCTCCAAACAGAATGTGGTAATGGATACCAAAATGAAGAACAAAGATGCAAATGCTACCCACTGTGAGAAAAGAGAGAGAGAGACATTGTGTAAGACCTTAAAGAAATAGTTCATCTAAAAATGACAATTCTTTCAATATTTAATCATCCAAATGTCGTTCCAAACCTGTATGACTGTTTCATCCGTGGAACACAACAGGGGAAATTTTGGAGGAATGAACTGGTCTGTTGTCTAATGTCTATTCTGATAGCTATGATAGAATATATGATACTTTGATGGTGCTTTAAACCTCATTCCCTATTCATTGTAACTGCATGGAGCAAAGAGCGATCAATACAATACTTCAAAATCCTCCTTTAGTGTTCCACCAAAGAAAAAGGTTAAACAGGAACAATGCTAGGGTGAGTAAGTGACAGAACGCCTTAAATGCTTGTTTAGTGAATTCCTCAAAAAAAAAAAAACAGCTGTAACACACGTCCGCTATAAATAGCTTTTCCCAACTTCCCAAAAATAAATCCAATTACAACACCATGAAAACACTAATTTCTCATAAACGCCCATTTCAGCTGAATTTAAGGGAAGTGCACTTGGATAATGTCACGTCTTGAGTTTCTCAACGTGCTTCTGAGAAGTGCCACGTCAACAAGCGGGGGGCTTAATAGAAGTACACTGCTGAAACTCAAGGTCATTGTGCGCTCTCAAGGACAGCATAGAACGACAGAAAGGCACAGACATAGCTGCCCTCCATCACTCTGGGATAAATTTAGCCATAGTTCCCCTCACTAGGGATTTCTGGTCAGCCTCTGGCAAGGTTACCACACAGATTTGGTGAGATGGTCCCTCGAGTGTTTTGAAAGAGGATGGGGGAAGCTTCACCATTTACACTGCAGCTTACTGTAAGCGAGAACAACAAGCATGGACAGATGGAGCTGGATTTCACTAGGGGAGCCCCACCACAGGATGACGGAATACTGGCGGAATGGTGGAATTACATAAGTGCTAGTTGGCCATGTTTTTCCTAGCGTGGGATCTTCTGGCAACTGTGAAAGGCACCATCCATTACGTATATTGATTACTTTGCTGAAATAAAATGGTTAAGACTATGAATCTCAATGACAAATCATCCATCAGCATATAATAGGGGTGGGATAATGCATTCAAGCAACAAATAAGAATTCAGTGCATTCTTGGAATTTAATAATTGATCATAATCCCTATATTTTCTGGAAAAAAAATGTATTGGTTGATTGGTGCTTGCCAGTGCAAAAGTCACTACCACAATGCTAGGGTGTTCTGATCGGTTGCTTACCAAGTTGCCAAGTTTGCCCAGTTTAAAGGTGCAGTAAGTGATTTCTGAGAAACGCTGTTGAAAGTGGATTGGACCGAGCACCACTGCAAACTAGCCAATCAGCAGTAGGGGGCGTGTCCAGTTATGATGGGGGAGGAGATAGAATGAGTAAGAGGGAGATTTGAAGAAAGATTGCTGAAAGAGAGATGGCTGGGAGACATTACAAAAGAGAAAAGGTCGGAGGAATATAACTGGAAAAAAATAAGGATTGTGATCAGGCAAGCGCTTTAGGATCTGCATTAATAGTAGAAAAGCTTTCCAGCGCTGCACTCATCCACTCTTGCATTGCGTGTTTGTGGATTTTGGGGGCGGAGCAATGAAGGGAGGGGTGTGTTTGTTTGGGTTGATTTCAAATATCAAGTGTTCAACAATGATTCTCAGAAATCGCTTAATGCACCTTTAATGAATGGGATTTTCTCACCCATTTTATCTTCTGCCAGGCAAGAATCGTGAGTCAAATCACTTAGAAGAGTAATGGCATTATTCGACCTAATAATCTGCATGATTTGAGGAATTATCCATGCCATTTGTATTTGCAAGTATTATGCGTTTACAACATGCAAGCTAGTATCAAATAACAATTGCTCATTTACCATGTTTTCATGAAGTCTCAAAGCATTAATACACCTTCTCTGCCCTGATCTCCCTCTGGTTTTGGCGGCTGGCAACACCTTTCAGTTCTTCTGTTCGTTCTATCACACAAATTCTTCTTCCACAGGCAGTTTATAACTGGGTCAGCCAGTGCTTAGTCTAACAGACACTATTCCCTAGATGTGCTTCATTTCCTGTGTTTGTGGGGAGGAGAAACGTTTTGTCTGAGGAAGCCCTGCTCCGAGCACAAAAACGCACATAAATAATGGCTTTTCGCCAGTCAGATCAGATCAATTTGACCTGTAGAAAAGGCTGTTGAGCTATGGAAATGAAGGAAATGGAGCAAAAAGCATATTTCTCCATTGATGCACGTCCAATTTTACACACCTATCTGTGTATACAATGCCTTTTATTTGCTCAATAGTGAACAGTGTTACCATCTTATAGATGAGTGCCATTGCACCTAGAACTTGGGATTTTCACAAGTCCTTTCCAGTTTTGTATGCAACATGTATCATGCGGTCAGTGAACGGACTGGGGTGGTAAAAGGAGTTCATAATTCATCAAGGTAAGACATGGATTACATAATCACAACTGCTTTTTTCTCTCTCTTCCTCACAGAACCCAGGTCCCTTTTCATTTTTTTTAATAAAATAAACAAATGCGACAAATATCACCACAAATATTTGTGTAAAAAAACTTGCTGAATCACTCTTGCTCTCCTCAAACTGAGGGCGAAAACACATTCTCACGACCTTGCAAATCCCAGAGGGCAAAAAGTCTGATCCATGAGAACGTTTTATCCTCACTCTCCCATTGATCAAGATGAGCACAAGAACAGCTTGATCCTCTTGATCTCGGGGGACACAACATGATCCGCTTCTCCCCTTCTGCCATCTCATCACACATTGATGACTTGAAGTAACAGTCCATTTTATGTTTCTTCCCTCCACAAAAATGAACAAACACTGGTAAAACATCAGCTATAATGTGTGCAAGTTATATGCTGCTTTTATTTGATTCAAAATATCTTCATTTGAGCTCGGAAGATAAACAAAAGTCTTACGGGATTTGGAACAACATGAGGGTGAGTAAATGATGACAGAATTTAAATTTTTGGGTGAACTATCCCTTTAATAGTCTTGATCAACTTTCCGGCACTTTATCATTCAGTGAATCTAGTGCTTTAACACATCCATAGGGACGTTGGCTGCAGACATATTGATGGTCGTTCCAAAGCGTCGTCATTCGTAGTCATTTAGTATGAGTTTAAGAGTCCATTTTCATTTTTCAGCCTATGAAAAAAACGTGCGGGCTGCAGAACTGGGAATGTTGAAACTTAAAGTGCTGGTAACTGAATTAGTTGGTGGGCTGCCCGGCTCTGATTCATTCTGTGAGTGCATGTGTGTATGAACCGATGTGATGCTACAGCTGAGATATGAGAAGTTCTCATTAAACACACTCACACACACCCCAACCACGCAGATAATGAGCGACTCGTGGCTTGATAATTACTGTGAGGAGGAGTCTGGATAAGTCTACATTCATACCATTCATACGGACAGAGTCTACTCTGAACCAATAAGCCTCGTCTGTTCACTTCCTGTTCGCTCGTATTTACGCCAAAGTACTCCGTACAGTTGGCACTCCTTTCACGAAAGAGTCCCGGGTTCTAAACACGGGGTAGACAATGACTGGGGTTTAGACTCATGTTGGAAAATAAAATATTATTTTGACCTGGGCAAGTACTTACTTTCCCTTATCTCCAAAAAACCTGTCCAGGGGCCAGTTGCCTGAACGGTGAACGTGATTTCACCAATGACCACATGTTCCTGGATCCACGTCTTTGTTGATCCTGGATCAACTTTCCAATCAACCAATCAGATTTGAGGGACAAGTTTACAGTTTATGTAAAGTTTAGGCTTAGAACCAGGGTGAAGTACTTAAACATCAGTGCTATTCACCTTTCATTACCCTCTGATTTTAGGGAAAAGTTATGGGTAGGGTTAGGTTTAGGGGTAGGGATTGGGTAAGGACTACATTTTGGGACAGGAATGTTGATCCAGGACCATGTCTTACTTGGCAAAATCACAGTGACCTTCCATGAACATAGCCTTAAGACTCTTGCTAAATCCGAAATCGCTTACTGAGTAGGATATAAATATATATCATATAAATATGAACAAGACATCATCTTTATTTTTTTTAATATTCACTCCCTCCCAGGCGTTACTGTTAAAGAATGACACTACACATTATCAACCGTGCCATCTGTTGTTTGTAAGCTTAGCAAAGTACAAATTAGCAAACATCTGAAAACAAAATGATCCTATTTCCTATTATATTTAAAAAAAAACATGCAACTAAGACAGAATCTACCTTTCACCTGATCCCGCATTGAGGTGCGGTTCTGTAGCATCATCATTTTAAGAGAGGTCCAACACCAGGTTTGCAACAGTTTTCTCAAGTAGCATTTCATCTCTCTGTTTTAGTACAAACAAACAGAAAACATGTGTTTTCACAAAATGAACTTACTCAATATCTAACAACAGAGTTCATAAAACATTGCAATGGATGCCTGCTGCTAACCACATCATAACCACGTTTCTACAATCAAAGACAAGAATGCTTGAGGAGGTATTGTTTTTTGTTGTTAAAATAAATGCAAAAAAAAAACTGCACATGCATTATTTGAAAAAAAAATTGCATATGCATTATATATATAAAAAAAGCTTTTATTATTTAAAAATATGAACAAAACCTCAAGCAATCTTGCCCTTGATTGTCCATTTCTAACTCTAAGAAGCCTAAATATTTTCATGCTTCATCCTTCCCAGGCTTCTGTGCTTTTAGTTTAGACAAAGATAAAGAAAGATGTCAGCTGTGATCACAGCAAGCAACTGAGTTGTCAAGTTCTAATGTAATTAAGATATTCTTCCTGACGGAGACGACCTAAAAATACCTCAATACAATTGACTTGACTTGCCCCAGAGAATCTAGTGAGGAAACGCCACATGCAGTGCAGTTCCCAGGGTTGACCACACAGTCTAGCCATGACTTCAACATCCCAATTCATTCATCTGAAATGTGCTGTGTGTTCTCCAGCCGCCTCCACTTGAGACGCAGAGATCCGTGGTAAAAATACTTCAGCGCCGTTGACAGAAATGCATATTTGATGCAGAAACCCAACTTTCCCATCATGCATCAGTGATTACTCAGACTCTTGCATCTACACTGTACAAAGGCTTGGAATTTTTAATGGTTTTGAAAGAAGTCTCTTATGCTCACCAAGGCTGCATTTATTTTTATCAATAATACAGTAAAAAATTTGAAATATTATTACAATTTAAAAGAACTGTTTTCGATTTGAATATGCTTTAAAATGTGATTTATTCCTGTGATCAAAGCTGAATTTTCAGCATCATTACTCCAGTCTTCAGCGTCACATGATCCTTCATAATATGCTGATTTGCTGATCAAGAAACACTCCTTAAATCAAAGTTGTTGTTTTTTTTGTGGAAACTGTGGTACCATTCAAAAGTTTGAGCTAGTTAATTATTATTAAAATTAATAATTTTATTCAGAAAGGATGCATTAAATTGAAAGGATGCACAATTAAAAGTGCATTAAAGGCATTTATAATGTTACAAAAGGTTCATATTTCAAATAAATGCTGTTCTTATGAACTTCACATTCATCAAACAATTCTGAAAAATAAATGCGCCAAGTTTTCCACAAACAAATTAAGGAGCAAAAACTGTTTTCAACACTGAAGAACCGTTATTAATAATTGAGCACTAAAAATAATTGATCAATTAAGCACCAAATCAGAATATCAGTAAATGTTTTTATCTTAAAGATCATGTGACAGTGAAGACTGGAGTAATGATACTGAAAATTCAGCTTTGTCATCACAAGAATACATTTTAAAACATAATTAAAGCAGAAAACTGTTATTCTAAATAGTAAATATATTTTACAATATTACTGTTTTTACCGTGTTTTTTTGTAATCAAATGAATGCAGCCTTGGAGAAGAGGCTGATTTCAAAAGCATTAATTATTCCAAACTTTTGACCAGTTGTGTAAATCATAAATCCTGGCTGCAGACTATCTCCATAAGCAGATTCATCAACCCGTGACCGCTTGATTTGCTGTGAGGCAGCATGGTTCATGTTTCTCAGTGTTCCTGCCAGGAGCCGGGGCACTTTTCCTCAACTCCAGCGGCTCTCCGCTTCGCCAGACAGGGTCGGACAGCCTGGCTCCTGGCAGAGCGGCACAGAGCCAAATGAATAATACATTTCCTTCTAGAAAACCAGTCTGACCTACACTTTAATTTGTTTAAAAGCATTGCCTGCATTCAAAACCAACCCGAAACTATGTCTAAGTTTATTCCACAGTCTGCCCACTTAGATCTTGGAGGACGTCCATGCCCTGCTCCGTACAGTCAGTAGAGCTGACCCATATTAACCTGGTTGCCAAAACTCGAGGAAATGCTGGGATGGCGCTCATCTCCGATTAAGAGCTTATAGGGTTCCTGCTGAGAGCGGTGATGGGACAGTGGTGAGGGCAAAGAGCTGACTTTTGAAATGAGTTAATGAAATGGCCATACAATCTCAAGGGGAGTGTGTCTTTCACAGCACAAGTGCCCTTAAATACTTTATGTGCATGCATTGGTGTTTGCATGCCTTGGGGTTGTGTGTATGTGTGCTTACATTTGTCTCTAGGGGTGAGGTGGCTGCTTGTCACACATCAAAACAGTCGGGCTGCCGTTAGTGGCAACTTGCTCTTGAACAAAACATGATCTGTATAGACAAGCAAGGATGCGAGCAGTCTTTATTTCCAACCCCAAAGTCAGTCAGCGGATCACAGGCGCTTGATAACTTTCATCAGAAACCAACTAAGCTGCACTGTGGTAAAGAATCACAAGCAAATGGGGTTATTGTATACCAGAAACTATGGTAATGCATGACATCACTTATGGTCCCATCTCACGGCTGGTTTTATCTCACGAAAGAGAAGGTGGGTATTATTTCAAGGTCACCCAGAGATGTGGGATGTGCTCAGAGATGTGATCACCTAGAGTCTCAGTATCTCACCACAATTCGGGAATTGGGCCATTCCACAAAAAGAGAATCTCAGGATCAATATGATACGAGTAAACAATGACTTGTAAAAACTGACACCATCTTTTGCTATGGGTTTTGCACAACTACAAAAAAAAAAAAAAAAAACAGTACATCACATTTATTTTCATTTATGTAATTAATGAATGAATGAATGAATTTCCTCTTCCCTTCTCCACGAGGATGTGTTTTTGGCCTATTACCAATATAAATATATATATATATTTCATACCCTTGTCAGCAGGCATTGTTATACCCACCCAAACATATATTGAAATTTATTATATTTTATTTATAATTATTCAAAATTATTACATTTAGCTTGAGATGGCACAACCCAATTTTTTAACACCTAGAGACATTTTCCTTTGACAGAATGTTTAAAATCTTACAGAAATAAACTTTGCATCCACTAGTTTACTCATTGATTTATTTAGGCTACCAAAAATCTCCTTTTTAAATGGCAAAGACCCGTTTTGTGGAATGACCCAGTTGACATGGCTGTATCTGTCCCTGATTTCACAAACGATCAATCAACCTCAAGACTCACTGATGGGCTCATTAGGATCATTTGACCCTCATGGTCTGCAAAAGGTATTGGATTATAGGCTGGTTTTCTGGTCTGTAGGCTGATTTTAAAGGGGGCCCAGCTGGTTTCCAGCTTATATTTTTCAGAAAGCATATAATAGCACTTTTCAATGAACTCACCCGTGCGTATTTTGAGGAATACGGGTCTTCAAAGAGCGCCCACGCCTTCTTCTGCCACCTGCTCCAGCGCCCGGACCTGTTATCGGGCGAGTCGCCTTGCGCCAGTCTCCGGGTCATCTCAACACCTTCATCCCCCTCGGCTGCCTCAACGACCCCCTCAGGCTCCGGGTCTTCATGGCCGAGGTCGAGAGCACCCCCGGCGAAGCTGTCCAAAGCCTCCTCCGCCTCTCGATGCTGCCGGTAGGTCATCCAACAACACGGTTCCACATCCGTCTCGTCGATCCCCCAAAACGCCAGCTCCTCCTCATACAAGGGTCCGCACACGTCCGCCGGGCAATGCAGCTTGCCAGTGCGGTAATAGTTAAGGATGTGGGCGAAAACGCCCGGGTGACGGTCGAAGAAAAACTCTCCGATGTTCGCATCATAATCGAAGTTGGTCGGCGCGTCGGGCTCCGCCAGCCAGGAAAGCCGAGTGCCGGGCAGGGTGCGCAGGGTGCTCCGGTACGTCTGGTGCTTGATTCCTCCGACGTTGATCACGATGCGATCCTTGTCGTCCCCTTGGCCCATCGCGTCCCTCTCTAGTCATATCTCCAGCCCACTGACCGTCATCATACCGCTGGGACCCATATCCAGAAAATTCAAAGAGTGCAAATATGTTTACGATCGTGCCAGGTGCGCGTCAAAAGTGTCCATGCCACCGTCAGATCAACAATGGGGATCCAAAACCCCTTTGTGCACTTGAATGACTTCTAAGGACAGATGCGAACGCGTCTTCCTTCAAATAACCCAATATCCTGACCCCCGGCTCGGGTTTGAGGGTGTCAGACAGGTTTTTTTAAGGGTGTCATTGAGCGCGAGCTGGTGCTGAAAGGACAGCGCCACTCATCCGTCGAGCCTTCATAACTCCAGTGTTCCTATTGTGTTGAAGCTTCCCCACGTCCGTTTTCTTTCAGAACAAAAAGACAAACCACCAGCATCAGATCTCGCCTCCAGCTATTCTAGTGGCTTTCCAAAAGATATGCAGAATCGATGGTGCTCCCATTGAGGCAGATCGCTTGAGATGACGCTGTTGGAAGAAACAAGCGGCGCAGCAACAAGGGAGGGTCTTTCATTCACAATACAGAGCTCAATCTAAAATGTGTTTCTACGAGAACAAAAACGCAACACGTTCTCGGGGTGGACCACACTGTGTATGGCAAGCCGTTTTAACAATCTAGTCCTTAAAACAATATCCATATCTGTTACTAGAGCTAGTACTGAAAATATCACTGTGCAATGCATTCTTTGACCTTCAAAACATATTTAAACATAGTTATATTCAACAACTATTTAAACAACTTTGATTTACCAGTAGTGCTGCTGTCAAATCGATTAATTGCATTTTAGATAAAAGTTTGTATATATATATATATATATATATACACTGTGCAAAAGTCTCAGGCACATTAGTATTTTAGACCAAAAAAAATGGATTTAAGACAGTTATTTATATCTTTTGCTGTAATGTGTCAGTATAGGAAATATCAGTTTACATTCCCAAACATTCCTTTTGCCATTAATTGTAATAATCCAGTGAGATTTTTGTATGCACAAGGAGTCTTACAACAGCCGGTATGATCCACACGGAGATCTGATCTCACCATTATTGAGTCCATCTGGGATTACATGAAGAGACAGAAGAAACTCAGACAGACTAAATCCAGAAGAACTGCAGCAACGTCTCCAGATGCTTGAAGAAACCTGCCTGTGGTTCAGATCAGTATCGTGACCTGTTCACACTTGAATCGGATATTGTAGGGGTGAATTCAGGTTCATTGGGACACTTTTTACCATTGAGATGACTGGGAAAAAGTGTCCCAATCAGTTTACAATATATATATATATATATATATATATAGTTACTATTATGAAATAAATAGTAGCCTACTAAAACTGGAATAGATACCAGCAACCACACTGTGACTTTTTTTTTTTGAAGTTGTAAATACAACAAAGATTACATGGTTTAAGTTTGACAACAAAATACTATTTCAGTTTTTCTTCAAAATTTTAAGTTTAATTCAATGTGTCACTTGCTGTGTAATTATTTGTGAAATTGTCTAGTAATTTCCAAATGAAAATGGTTTCTAAACCACATTTTTCAGTGCATTGAAATACATATCAAGTCTGAAGTGAATGTTAATATTTGAACCAATAAAACAGTTACTATAGGACTAGTGACTGTATGTGATGAATATCTACTAGTAGCCAAACTAATTGAAAAAGAGTCATTTTCTAATAGTTAAAAAAATTGTACTAGTAACATAACAATTGACAGTTTTAAAGCATTAATTTTAAAACAGCTTGTCATGCACATTGTGTCCTATTTGTATGAGCAGCAGGTAACCTTCTGTTTATCCTGGAGCTCAGCTTGTGAACTGCTCCGGCACGACTAAAATCAGAGCACATTTGCCTGGGAGGCATGTATGACCATGTGCGTGAGGAGAGTTGACTGGGAAGGGGGTAATTTGTTAAATTTCGGGGACATTTGTGTGCTGCAATCTCACTGTGCCTTATAGGCAACTCTGAATTCATAAATTACTGAGCTTTTTTTTCCATTAGAGAAGCTTTAGGCTGATCAGGGACCAGATATACCAGCCCTCAAGTGGAGCCACAACAAGTAGAAGTAGAGCTGCCATTAAAATAGATTTAAAGATGTTGATACAGATCTAAATTGACTAATGTGTAAGTGTAAATCTTTTTTCTGTACTGGTATTTCTGAGCGGTGACAGCCTGCAATGCTTCCGGTCTGCCTATAGGTGGAACCAAAGTGTTTGTAATTTTATTGTAGACACTAAGTGTACACAAAATATCAAATAATATTTTACAGTTATATTCTAATTAAATATCTAGACACATAAAAAAAGCAAAGATAACTTTTATTGAATATTCCTCTTGGGCCAATTTTACATTTCAAAAAAGACTGTGCCAAAAATATCAAAAATAAGACAGCAAATATAACTTTAATATGCAAACATGTTCTCATTGTCTTAATTGTCTTTAGAATGATCTAAAAAAATATCAATATTAAAACCATATTATTTATTAAATAAATATACAACAATAAACTGTCTTCCTCTAATGAATCAAAGTCACAAGAATGTTCAACTGCTAATGCAAAATAATTTTGTCAGTAAAATGTAAAATGTTTACTTTATTTTCTTTTTTAACTATTATTATTAAATTGCTGATGTATCCAGCAGAATACAGAGATTGGAGATGAGGGACAGTGAGTGAAAAGCATAATATTTGAGAATATTGAAAAGGGGGCCCCTGGAAATAACTCGGGTCATGTGACTTGTTGAAAAATCTCTACTCGCCATCTTAATCCAAAAGTAACATGGCACCATGTGAAACAGTCGACTAGAAATTTAATAATACACAGTTTCACAATAGACACTCTTTCGCCTTTTGCAACGTTTTATATAGATGTTTGTGCAGTTCTTCTTATGAAAGTCAACATCACCAATAAACAAGCTATCTTTGTCAAGTGTCCTCAACTTCTTGGAAACATCTCTCATTTCTCTCTCTCTCTCTCTCTCTCTCTCTCTCTCTCTCTCTCTCTCTCTCTCTCTCTCTCTCTCTCTCTCTCTCTCTCTCTCTCTCTCTCTCTCTCTCTCTCTCTCTCTCTCTCTCTCTCTCTCTCTCACACACACACACACACACCTGTCTGGAAGTTTCTAACATACTACACACATTCACACACAAAGGCATAAACCAGTTGACCTATCCAAACCCTCTTACAAACCAAAGCATCAATTCCAGCCAATAGACATCGAGTAAATCATCACCTCCCACCTGCCACTGTGGATTAGTGATGCTCAGTCCGACTCATTTTTGCGAATCGGTTCTTTCGAACAGTTCATTTTAAAGAACCTGGTAACAAATCGTTTAATCAATTATCCTACGAAAGTACTTCATCAAGTGATTCCTGACATGACGGCGTGGCATTTATACATGCTCTAAACATCAAAGTCACAGCCTTTAGGCGCATGCACAGTTTATGTGTGTTCATATATTAGCCTACATTTTATCAAGGTGTTTATTGTAATTCAATGTGTCCATGATTCAGCTCATAGAACAGAATTTACATTAGACAATACTAAAAAAATATAGGCCTATATAATATTTTATAATATTCTTTTGAGTGAGTGCGTTTAGGCCTGATGCCTATATAGGCCTATGCTGCTAATATAACAATAAAAAAAAGCTAATTCTACCAATTAATCAAAGCTATAAAAATCTGGTTTACATGATATTTGAAATAAATAAGGTTTACTTTTGACAGGTTTTTAAGTCGACGTGCCCGCACGATTTACACAAAAATCCTGTTGCCGATCGTGATTTGCGTTAACCGTGAGCTTTACCCGATAAAAATAACAATGTGGGCCCTTTTTCGTGACTTACATTCAGACTTTTCGTTATTAAAACGTAGCCTAATAAAGTCTGAGAGAGCATGTAAACGCTACTTTGTTGTTGGTGACTCGAGAACCGCTCTGACAGATTCAATCCGTTTCGCGAACGAGTCGTTCAGACTAGACTGATTCATTGCGAAGATTCGACTCTCAAAAATGATTCATTCACGAATTGGACACCGCTATCGGTTCTTATGGCCGCCGCGCTCTAGGATGCGTGGCTCATTGGGGGAACTTTGTATCGTCCGTTAACGTTGTCTATTTTATTTTATTTTATTTCTACCATTTCAGCGGGTATAATGCTTATACACCTCCATCGACTTTTACACCGTTCTTTCGGTGCCAGGCGGCCGTTTCTAGCGAGTTTATACCACACTCAGCGGGGAGTGTACGGTTTCAGACCGAGAGAGTCTCCGGAGAGAGACGATGGGTTTCCGCAGATCTCAGCGCTTAACCAAGGTGTTTACAGATTGTAAACTGCAGTTGATGTCTGTTTATGGTTATGCTTTCAGCTTTGGCAGCAGCTTACGTCTTCTTAACGTTGCATACGTAAACCTACAGAAAGATTAGAGATGTATAGTAAGATCTGCAATACTTTAATGTATGGAGCATATTGATTTATTAAATGGCTGTCTTATGTAAACAGATCACGGACTGGCAAGATTGGTGGAGGCCTATCGAGCACATGGGCACAAAGTAGCTAAAATTAACCCGTTACTTCCCCAAACTCCTGTGCTGGACAGCGTGCCGGAGATCAGCCTGCTGAATGGAGCTGTTCATGGAGTCCTCAACACTACTGGTTAGTTTCTGGTTGTTTCCTGTGTTTTGAAATTGATCTCAATCTACTTGCGTCTTATTATAGGATTGTTCCGGGTTCAACCTCCGTTAAAGGGATAGTTCACCCAGAAATGAAAACTCTGTCATCACCCTCATGTCATTCCAAACCCGTAATTTCGTTCATCGTCGGAAAAAGAAATTAAGATTTTTTGGTTGAAATCGAATCGGTTACCTAACGTAACCTCGGTTCTCTCTAGAAGAGGGAACGAGTATTGCGTAAGCTAGCTTACGCTGCGGGAAAGATTCATCTTTGCTGAGAGTTTGAAGCCAAAAAATTATTTCATAATTTGTATCCATTGACAACGCAGTTCCTCTGCGGCAGACCTAGAGCAGGCTAGCTAGCAGCTCATTGGTTCGCTCAGAGAGAACTGCTTAAGCCTATGGGAGAGCGGGGCTGAACCCGCTTCCAATCCCAGACAGCAACAGTGTCGACCCAGATCCGGCCCACATCTGGGCCGTGTGGAATCCTCGTCCCCTCTTCTAGAGAGAACCGAGGTTACGTTAGGTAACCGATTCGTTCTCTTACGAGAGGTTCTCTCGTATTGCGTAAGCTAGCTTACGCTGCGGGAACACCTGGTCAACGCCGTGCGCGCTATGAATCCACTCATGAATCCCAGGGTGATACCGGGGGATTTTTAACG